TCATTAGTACAGTTTGTTTCCTCATAATCATAAAAAGTTTCGGGTCTTTATAAAAGTATGAGTTCCCAGGGTCGTCAAATGCATCAAACTGTTTGTACACCTCTCTTTTATGTATTATATTGTGTTTTAAATCGTTTATATCTACAAATTCACCGCCTGGTATAGCGAAATGCGTTTTTCGACGTTTCATTGTGAATTTTCCGAGGTTTTCTTTGATTTTTTCGTTGTCTTGGATCTTTTGGATCGATATTATCGGATTGTCTGCGAATTCCGTTTTGTTTTGGTCAGTTATGTTGATTTTTTCATGTGAATGTGTGGCTTCGTTAGCTGAAACAATTAGGGGTTTTTTAATTTTATCTGTCTATAGATAGTACTACGAGTATTTTAATAATTTCCAGGTCTATGATGACTTCAACTAATTGCACCCTTGCACTGTTCTTTTAGAAAAAAAATCTTATAATCCTGACAGCCTATTAGGGCAACTAGGATTACTAGTTCACAGTTCTCGGAAAGATACAATTACTATTTGTAAGATAGTATATACGTCAGATCATCAGGTCATAAAGTCTGACCATCCTCTCCAATTTACCAGAGGCAAATGGAGGATTTGTCCTACACTCCCCACGCTGGCCAGACAGGTTGGGGAGGCCAGATGTTAGCATATTTCATTTCATAGATCTTTTTGTCATTTAGTCGCCTCTTACAACTTCCATGACAGTATGAGTTTTTCCGGAGTTCACACAAGGTCCACAAGGTGAACCGACGACCTCATGAAGGTAGCAGGAAGGCGCTGGATGCAGGCCGCTACCAACCGGGCGATGTGGAAGTCATTGGGGGAGGCCTATGTTCAGCAGTGGACGTCCTGTGGCTGAAATGATGATGATGAATTCTTCAATATCTCTTTCTAACTTCTGGCCACACGTTGCACAACAAATAAAACAAATGCTTACTTGTAACAGCTACAAATAATAAGAAATGCAATCGAAAATGCATTTTCTACATTCGACATGGTTCACTTGATAGAAACTACATTGTGGAAAGCATAAAATATGTTATCACAATATTATACGCTAGATGTTTACATTGGACGCTCTTATTTTAATGAAATGTTACATTATTTTATTTGTTTGAATATAATATGATATTATTATGTTACATTATTCTTTTTATTTGTTAACTAGCGGCCGCCCGCGACTTCGTATGCGTGGATTCCGTTTTACCCCCTTAGGGGTGGAGTTTCGTAAAATCCTTTCTTAGCCGATGCCTACGTCATAATATCTACCTGCATGCCAAATTTCAGCCCGATCCGTCCAGTGGTTTGGGCTGTGCGTTGATAGATCACTATGTCAGTCAGTCAGTTAGTCAGTCAGTTGAGTTATTGTATATTTAGATTATGAAAATACAATTTTAAATAATAGTGTTAGAGAAGTAGGACTCAGGCCAAATCCTCAATTTGTCTAATTGACAATTAAAATGAAAATTCAGCGACACAAAATTCAAATTCAACATCAACAAAACCAAAACCAAACAAATGATCTGATGATGATTATGATGAAAGAAGCAACGCCGCGGGAAGAAGCTAGCATTACTAACTAGACTTGACGATTTAATCAGTCATGAATCGTGACTTATGAACCTCGTTCATAGTCGTGAAACTCGTGATCAGGCATCCATACTAATACCTATTACGTACAAAAGTTACTGCGTTTCTAGTATTGCATCTTCCCAGGCTGGCCCACATTATTGTCCCGAAGCAGTGGTAGACGTATAGATGTTACGGTCAAAGTGATAAATGTGAAAATTATGAATAATCGCCGGTTATTATGAATAATTACCGCATGATTTGGTAAATGTGATTAATATGAGATCATTTATGTGTGTATAAAACTAAAACCCCCGCCGCACCTTAACCTATTTTTAACTTTAAATCAAAACAATATGTTATGGGCTTTATGGCAAAGTAATGTTACGCAAGAAACAGTCAAAACTCATTAATGCCAAATTAAATTAATATAATATGATATCAAAACATTCAAAATGTGTGGCTGTACACAAGCACTATACATGAGCCATTGTTCTTTTATGATATTTCATAGAACTAAGGTTACATTATTACCTAAATAATCACTGATAAATGTAATTCATTTATTACTTTTACCTCAACTGTCGGTAATTATTCATAATAACCGGCGATTATTCATATTTTTCAATTTATCACATTAACCGTAACATAGATAAAATCATTTTTCAGTAAATTTGACTTGTATGACCCTATCTTTTTGTTCTGTTACGTTTTCGCTAAAACTGCTGACTGAAATGTTGTTCAAATTAAGATATAGTTTTGCTTTTGCTTTGCTTAGTTTTGGACTGGGCGCTATGTAAAATGTCAAAGGATGTAAATTTTAATTGAGGAAAAATTATGCTGTAATTTCGAAAAAATATTCCGAAGCTGTACTTACAAGTTATTTTAACTAGAACACGACTTCTTAATTAACAAACCCCAAGGTTACATAATAATACAAGAAATAACCCAAGATTGATTTAATGAGTTGTAGGTCTACTCCTTAGAGACGTTCCAATGTAATAAATTATTGTTTGTGTTACATGTAACTAAACATACAGGGTGTAATCATGTGCACAGTCAATGAAAACTTTCTGGCAGTCACAGTGAGACCAATAAGAGTCTATGAATTTCTTTTCTTTAAATTTGAATTCAAAGAAACCTCCTTAAAAACTAAGATTTGCATTTTACAGGTAAACCAGAACGATTTTTCTAAAATTTCTTAGTAGATTAGCCAATACACTTCCTGAAAATAGCACTTGGATTTTTAAAATGGTGTGTAGTTTTTAATTGAAACGAATAAATGGTATAGCGATGCGTGACCTTAAAACAGCTGACTGCCCAATTCGAAAAATAAATATCCAGTTCGCAATATACCTACATAAATAAATATTCTACAAGTTCGTGGAATTAGTGACCACAGGACGTTTGAGTAATTTTATAGTTTTTCCTTCTTTTAAACACACTGCCAAACGAATTGTTTTCTACGAGGATTTAGCCCAAAGGTAAACTGGCAGAGAATGGCATTAAGTTCACCTTATGTACCAAGTATATGGCATTAAAGAATAAATAAAAAAGTCATCATCATTTTAGCCATAGGACGTCCACTGCTGAACATAGCTAGCATAGCAAAACGGCTCCCTTGTATGTGTCACCGTAAAATTGTGAATTCTGTCAGATTATAATCTGACGTAGTTAAATTACAATCTAACCTAACCTAACCCACTGTTAGTTTACAATCTAACGCGTTATATTATAAACTGACAGAGATCACAATTTCACGTTGACATAATATGTACTTTAAATTAAATAAATACTTACACCCTGTATATATATTTCTATGCGTCTTGATTAGAACAACAAGGCATCAATTGCAGTGTTATCAAAGTGCATTCGCAATTGCGTCTTCAATGCTGATGCTACGTAATAAATAAAAAATGTTTGTCTGTGTTATAAAGTTGTTTTTTTTTTATACCAACTTAAAATTTATTTAGCCAAAATAAAGTTAGTTTTTGTCACCTGTCATCCGCTTTGCAATGGAGGGAAGTCGAACCTTATCTTCGAACTCCTATGTTCTTCTGATTAATTTCTTTGCGGGTCCAATGACAGTTTAACTTTCCCCCGGGACAAACTTGGCCTTCACTGGTTGGGCTGTTGGCGGTCAAGCTGTAGATCCTGACTACACAGGCGTTGCAGCGGTGGGAACGAGAGGTGGGAATAGTCCCGTTTTGGAAACCGGTGATGTAGGCCAAGAGCTTCCCCGTTTGAACTAAAAATCCCTATTATGTCGTGAGATCGTGATATGAAAAACATGGACGAACCCGCGTGCTAATTAAATGTCACGAAGATGCTATCGTTAATCATCGTGGTAATAAAAGAGGTTGGAGATCAAATAAACAGTTTATTGGACAGTTGGTTATGTCACACCACAATTTATTTGTTTCTCCATATAAACCTTAGTTTAGACCGACCATGATAATAATACTTATCAATTAATCATCACCATTCCAGCCACAGGACGTCCACTGCCGAACATAGGCCTCCCTCAATAATTTCCATAATCGGTTGGTAGCGGCCGCATCCAGCCTGCTTTTATGAGGTTGTCTGTCCACCTTGTACCCTGGACGTCCTACTGGTACATGGTCTCCACTCCAGAACCTTGCTGCTCCATCGGCCGTCAATAATTAAAAAATTCCTGCACAATCCAATCAATGGTTTCAATTTATCTATTTTAACCCTCCCACTGATTCGGAACTTAACCTCTTTATAATATTACTCCACTCCCCACTCTGGCCAGACGGGTTATGGAGGCCTAATTTTCGCATAATATAATGTCCCTTAAAAGGACCTTATCAACCTGGAAAGGGATCAACACCGTATCGCCTTTCGCACAAGGCGTGGTGTTTACGTTATAGTACTTACGGAGTTTCATACAAAGAATACTGACTGCATCTAGTTACGGTTACGATCCGTTTCCGGGTTGATAAGTGTGCTTCGTCCTTTAGTCGCTTACGACATCCGCTTACTTAGAAGAACGAGGTTGGACCTACCTATACTCTGCCGGGATCACACGGCTATGTTTTTTTAGTGACTGACTTTCTTGCTCCGCTTCTTCTCAGCACTGGCCCATTTATTGTGCCGAAGCAGTGGTAGGGTTAATACTGGGACGTGTAAAAGTGCTTTTTAAAAGCCTATTTGCAAAAATAAATACGTTTTATGAGTTTTTTATGGGTTTTCATCAGGTTATTTAGTCTCTACGGAACATGACCCTCCAATTCACCAGAGGCAAATGGAGGATTTGTCCTACACTCCCCACGCTGGCCAGACGGGTTGGGGAGACCTGGTGTTCGCATATTTGTCCCTTAGTCGCTTACGACATCCATGTGAAGAGTGGCAGCGGTCGTATACTCTGCTGCAAGGCTGCAACCACACGGCTATGTTTTTACCATAACTAAACTTCTTTTTCTTTCTTGCAGGTGGTGCGAGGAGTCCACATAGAGCCAGCCCACATAGTCAAGAAGAGGAGCATAGACCAACCTTTAAGAATTAGTATATTTTATGACCATTCCGTCTATAGGTAAATATTTCACTTTTTTTTCATTCTTTCTACTGAAACTTTGGCTCCAACAGAATTATACTGGGAGATTGAGGAGAATTGTAACACAGGTGGGTTGCTTGTGACACAATTTCTCTGATCGAGCTGGCAACTTCGTGAATCCGTCGCTCTTTCGACACTCCACAGTTTTTTTAAACTGTCATCTCGCTAACTGTCATAGGCGCAGAGAAATCGGCTTTGTGATAACTCACCTCTTTTACAAATACAACTCTCCTCGGTCTCCCCTATTAAAGACAAAGAAGAATTTAACAAGATGAGAAATTAAATTTTCAAAAAAGCATAATAGGTATTTAAAATACTTTTTTAACCCTTTGATTTTTTATTTCATCTAAATTGACAAAAAACAGTTCCTTGCAGATAAGCTGTTTAATAACTTTCTAAATCTTTTCTTTTACAGATTAGAACCTGAAAAATTTGATATGATCAATGTAAGTATCTATTTTATAAAATTTACAATTCATCATAATTTCAGCCATAGGACGTCCACTGCTGAACATAGGCCTCCCCCAATGATTTCCACATCGCCCGGTTTTTAGCGGCCTGCATCCAGCGCCTTCCTACCTTTATGAGTTCGTCGGTCCACCTTGTGAGTGGATGTCCCACGCTGCATTTTCCAGTACGTGGCCTCCACTCCAGAACCTTGCTGCCCTATCGGCCGTCAGTTCTGCGTACTATGCACCCTGCTCATTGCCACTTCAGCTTGCTTATCTGTCGGGCTATGTCAGCGACTTTAGGACAAACTGCCCCATTTATTGCTTGCTATTTACATTAGGTATTACACTATTTACAACCAAATAAATTAAATAAAAAGAATAAACGGAATTAAAATTTAGAGTCTTTAGAGTCGCTTCTCAAACTAGATTAGGTAAAATAAAATAACTTGAAAAAATCGAACTGCCTAAGGCGGGAATGGAACTCAGTAACTTAGATGGGAGACCATTCGCTCGGCAAGCGAAAGGTCGTGGGTTCGATTCCCGCCTTAGGCAGTACGATTTTTCAAGTTATAATAAACTGCATGTTTTATTATTTCTCATCTATTTATTTATGTCCATTTCCAGAACACAATATTACCGGAGGCTGTGAAGTTCTGGGAACAAGCTTTGAAAGTAAGAAAAACCGGGGGTCCCATTATGTTAAACAGGTAAGTTTAATTTAATATTAATAGAGATCATTTAAGGTCGTAGCACATTTATCAACCCGGAAAGGGATCGTAACCGTATCAACTCGAGGCGGTCAGTATTTTTTGTATGAAACTCCATACTGCAACACACACTTATCCGCATCGTTACGTAAACAGCTCGCCTCGCAGTTGACAACGCGCGAAAGGCGATGAAAGCTCACGAAAGGCGATACGATACGGTGTTGATCCCTTTCCGAGTTGATAAGTGTGCTTCGTCCTTTATTTTCCACTGCAGGTGTGCCCCTTATTTCATCAGATGAGGATTTTTCCTACACTCCCCACACTGGCCAGACGGGCTGGGGAGGCCTGATGTTCGCGTATTTGTTCCTTAGTCGTTTACGACATCCACGGGAAGAGTGGGGTTAGATCCTATGATCAATAGCGTTGATTAAAGGATAACTTAGTTGAATAAAATAACAAGAATGTTCACTGGAATTCGAACGTTAAGAAGATAAATAAATAATAAAACTGTATAATACAATGACAATAAACTTATTTCATACACATTCACGCTTAATTATTAAATATTACAATGTTTGCTTTTGATACTTATATTAATAAACATTCACGAATTTATTTATTTACCAACAACTTTATTATAATTACAAATTACAGATAGAGTCAAAACTTCGTTAAATAAGGTTCATGTATTTACCCGTATTAAAATTAATTTTTAATTAATAATAATACATAAAACACATAAATATTACAAACATGTAAGTAATTACAATTATTCTGCCCTTCAAACAGTAGTAAAAGATTGTATAAGGCCCGAATGAATTCTAAAAAATCATCACCATTATCATTTCAGCCGCCCTATGGTATGGCTCCTTTTCCTAATCTAAAAAAACATACAAATTATTCTATCCTTTTTAATTGACATTTACACGTTCCAAAAACTTATAAAATAATAATCCTACTACTGTTTTGTTACAATAATTATGGGTCAGTGCTGAGAAGAAAGAAGTAACACAAAAAACATCCACTTTTGTCAGCCTGTTTTTCAATTAAAAGTCATTTACTTATGACAAATACGTAAGACATACATAGGTTTTAGCCTGATGTGGTGTTAGCTAAATAATAGTCAGTAAACTATCATTTAGTCTCAAATTATAACATTTAATTGTCTCTCACACTATCACAAAGACCACATATACGCTGGTGGCGCCTCTACTGGCAGAATCAGAAAACTTTATTTTTCCCGCGCTGTCAATTTGACAGACTCCATGATATCAATCGTTGTACGTTAATCCTTTGCACAGGAAGGGTATTTCATACGCCACCAGTTTGTTGCAGAATTTGCAGTAATGGTTTCTATATCGGAAATAATCGAAGCAGTACAGGAGAATCAGCAAAGGGAATAGTCTGAAAAAGAAAAAAGTACAATGAAGATCTATTTTTTTTTACATCAAACTTTGCTAGCGACTGCGTAAAAAATTACATTAAATGTATGACGGATTGTACAGCGTCCCTAGCGGATACTTTCAAGATTTTTTGACGCACTCACTAGCGACGACGCCGTTCAATCAATACAAACGGTCTCTTGGGTATCTTTACACTCAAATAAACGTGTTTTTTTCTTTCTCTTCAAATATTTTTATGAAATTTTTACCGAAGTAAGATCTATCAGCATTAATTAATAGTAATAGCAGAGGTAAACAGAAATTATGTGTTCTGCCGTTTTTAGGGCAGTTTTTAAATTGGGCTCTTTGCCTTTACATTGCTGCGGCACACATCACTAACGAAGAAACTGTGTCTAAAGGTCATAGCACACTTATCAGCCCGGAAAGGGATTAACACCGTATCGCCTTTCGCCGCACAGTAAGCCGCGAGGCGAGGCGTTTACGTTATGGTGCGGATGTGTACGTTGCAGTACGGAGTTTCGTACAAAGATTACTGACGATACGGTTACGATCCGTTTCTGGAATGATAAGTGCGCTTTGTCCTTTATACTATTTGCTCACTATATTCAGAGGGCTTAGTGTGAGTTAACATCAAACGCACTCATTAGTAAGCACGTTTAAAAAATGTATGAAAATTTCAGTTTTTGAAAATTTCCGCTTGGGGCGCTGTACAATCCGTCATACATTAGTGAGCGCGTTTGATGCAAACTCACACTCAGCCCTCAGTATAATAAGTATTACTAACTATAGTCTGGTCCGGGAGCACGTAGAATTATGTCCAATGACCCCAAGCTACGCATCCTTATCGGTCGCGCGTAACTATATTGCTGTCGCGACTGTACGACGGGCGCCCGCAATGAGTGTGCGAGCGTGACAGCAACATAAATACGCGCGAGCGATAAGGATGGGTAGCTTGGGGTCATTGGACAAAATTCTACGTGTTCCCGGACCAGACTGTAATTGTGTGTTGAAGTGTTTGCAAATAATTTTTTATCTTAGTACCTATCCTTTCTCATTAGAAGCGATGCAATATTGAACTTACGCGAACAAAATTAACGTAAGTGCCAGCATATGAGTAGCGAAGCCGACCTGCATGATGCTGAAGCTTGGAGCAGTGACGTCACAGTGCTTGCAGTATACCATAGTAGGATTTTTCGTCTCTGAAATCCGAAATTATATCATGTCAACACTAAATACTTATAGGTGTGGTGACGGCAGAGTAGAATACATTTGTCACCAACCCCTACTCTTCCCGCGGGTGTCGTAAGAGGCGACTTAGGGACTACACATCAAACAGAGAATGGGCAGCAGCGCTCTCTGAAAAACATCAATCTTTTAAACTGCGATCTCCACCCGCCTGCCAAGCGTGGAGATTATGGCAAAACCCTCCACTATAGTAGAGGAGGCTCATAGTCCAGCAGTGGACTGTAAACGGCTGTTGATGATGATGATGAAATACTTATAGTCAGGTCGCTGAGCACGATGAATTTCGTCCAATGATTCCAAGCTACCCATCCTTATCGTTTGCGCGTAATTATATTGCTGTCGCGACTGTGCGAAGGGCGGCCGGAGTGAGTTTGCGAGCGCGAAAGCAACATAATTACGCGCGAGCGATAAGGATGGGTAGCTTGGTGTCATTGGACAAAATTCTACGTGCTCGGCGACCAGGCTTTAGATGAACATTGTACATTTCATGAAATACCAATACAACCCTTTGAGGGACAGTCATCACTCATGATATCACATCACAGAACTGATTCCATCTCTCGTTCCCACCTCTGCAACACCTGTGTAGCCAGCAGGCTTACCCAATTGCATTTTTAAGATCGCTGAAATCACCTATCTATTAATTTAAGTCCTCCGCCTGGACATGAGCTCCCCCGGCCTACATGGAAATCTTTAAATACATAGACTTCGGACGCAGGTCGGCCGTAGTAAGGACAATCTGTTCAGGTTATAATGATAAAAATAAATATTCTCTTAATCTCACTTACCTTGTGCAAGAGGCACAATCACTTGAGTCCTTGGCTGTTCCGGGGCCTCCTCTGCCGTTGAAACTGGACTACTAGTTGGAGGCGTCTGCGTAGTTGTGGCAGCAGAAGGCGTCGAAGCAGACAGTGTATCAATCTCCGTATACGCTGGAGGAGGATTCGGAAACTCCCGGACTTCAGGCCTTGCCTGCCCGTAGAGCGAGTCAGTCTGGTATCTCCCGTATATGCCTACTTCTTTGGCCATGATGGCCGGCGCTCCTGGAGTGTTTCCTTGTGAGGAAAATCCTGGAAAGTTTGAAGATAAATGGAGAAGTTTCAAATTTTTTTCTACTAATAAAACTTGAAAATATAAGTAAAATCAATGATATTTGTAAAAGAAACATATCAAATCAAATCTTTCTTTATTTGCATAATTCCAGGTACCTACATAAGTGGTCTTACATAGATTTGGTAGGTTTCACTGAAATTTGCTCGAACTAGGAAGCGTGCAAATATTAAGCGTGTAACTAGTAGACTTTATATCGAAAAAGAAAATATACCAGCAATAAAAACATGCCATATTAATCATGAAAATATATCTACAAAATATAAAGAAATTACAGGGTCCCAAAGTTGCGCATAACAGATATTTCGCGCCATTTGATCGGTGACGTCACGCCACACAATACATTGAATCGGAGTACAAACAGTGAATCACCCCAGCCCCCCTAGACAAAACGCACTTTTTGATCTAATCGAAAATCAAATCCGTCAAAACTCCATACAAAAAAGGGGCTTTTCGACCACTTTTCGACTGGTTTGCGATTATAATTTGCACTTTGTCTAGACCCAGCCTGTGCAGTGACTAGAATACTGACCGGCCACTGCAAACTAAACAAACATATATCGAACATTAACATGACCGAGGAAACTCTGTGCAGATTCTGCCATACAGAAGAAGAAACGGCCATGCATGTTCTTTGCTCATGCTTCCCGCTTATGAGCAAAAGAAGTACACATCATGCACCCGGATGAGATAGCAGATATCACGCTCCAAAGAATCTGGAAATTTATAGACTCAACGGGACTAAGCAGTGAACTCTAAAGACAAGGGCTGCCACAATAGATCAAACCTGGTCGAGTTTGGCGCAAATAAAGGCCCATAAACCAATAATAATAATATTGTCTAGACCCACAGATCCAGTGCTTTTGACAGATCCATTTTTTAAATCTAGTAGTTTTTAATTTTTTAGCCGGGTCACTAAAGATTCTTTCTTAGTAAAATTGTGTAACCTTTTTTTAACATATCCTAGACCTGGCCATAAACAAAAAGAAGAAGAAGTAACTACCTAACTAGATAGTCAATGAAAATACTTTGTCGTCGCTTCATTTAGTGTACCTACCACTCTCAGGAGAGCCAAGGTTCAAAGTGATAGGTGGTGCTCTTCTGACAGGTCGACTGGTGCTTCCACTAGAAGTGCTACTGGAGCTGCTGCCAGGCTCTGGCACTGTCACCACCTGATCCTTGAACTGGTCGTAGAAGATGGTTTGCTGGAACGAAATAAAAATTCATTAGAACTTATCTTTTACGCCAATTTTCGAAAGGACTACAACGCTAGTTTGAATCCCGGTAAATAAATGTATGATGAGCGAATGAAAAGCTTGTGCGTTTAATAAACCATAGTCAATTTATTATTGAAATTAGTCACTGTCGAGTGGCAGGTCCTTATAATCGCTGGTGGCAGCCACTGAATGAAAATTCTTCCTATTTTATTAGAGCTTCTGTTATAACCACTGAACTAGCGTAGCGAGTGACAAGACTTTACGCCTTTAAAATAGTGAAGTGAAGAACCGACAACCGATGTGAAGAAATCTTCTTGTTGCTGTTTTTAAAGTCATCATCATATCATAAAATGCCCAGGGTCCCTAGTAAATTTAAGACAGCTGAAGGCGGATCACCAAGTTTGACACATATTTGCCCTCTATAGTCTGGTCCGCTAGCACGTAGAATTTTGTCCGATGACCCCAAGCTACCTATCATTATCGCTCGCACACTCACTGCGGGGGCCCGTCGCACAGTCGCGACAGCAATATAATTATGCGCGAGCGAAAAGGATGGGTAGCTTGGGGTCATTGGACAAAATTCTACGTGCTCATGGACCGGGCTTTAGACTAGATAGAAGAAGAAGGCTTTTATGTGATTTTTAACTTCCCATTAAGGAACAAGCTACTGCAGATTACCAGATAGTACTTAATCATAATTACCTGCACAAAAGATTCTTCCACCGGTGGCCTTCTCTGTTCAGTCACCTGACTCCCGCTGCTCTCAGGAACATCGATGTAGACCACCGGATTCGCGTCATAGTCTACCTTCGCCAGTTCCTCTGAGGTAGGTTCTGGTGTCTCCTCTCCCTCGACTGTGTTTGTCTGTGGAAACAAATGAGTAAATATTTGATTAGAAAGTTCTTGAAGATAGTGAGGATTGATTTTTAGGTCTGCCTCTTTTCGATTCTTTCAATCGATTTCTTTCTGATGAGTCTTTTTTTTCTTTCTTCTTCGATTGAACTAGCTACCTACTTCAAAAACTTTGTTGGTTAGGGAAAAAGGATGAAGTTCTATTTAAGGGTTTTCCTAGAAATAACTACCAAGCATTACGCCAAACAAAATCTAAAATAACCCTCCTTCTGGCGCAGTTGGGTAACTAACCGATTTTCAAAAAAAAAAAAGTATATAAGTAGTATATCCGTTAAGCTAGCACCCATAACACAAGCATTAAGTTGCTTACTTTGGGGCTAGCTGGCGCTGTGTGAAATTGTCCAAAGATTTATTTATTTATTTATTTAAAAGTCATTAATTAGAAGAATCCCGTCTTAGAATTATTTGTTATACTGGTCGACTAAACCCAATTCTGGTAGTCTATGCATTATGAGCAATAAGCTCATGGTTCCAAGAATTAATACCAGTACTTAAGACCAGCGGTCGGCAACACGCGGCTTGTGAATGTTTAATAGCATTTTTATTTTTCTAAGGGATCCAATCATACGTGGGCTTTTAGGTTTAATATCACAAGTGCGGCCCACCTTTAATTTCTACCTTGTAAAGTCTGGTCACCGAGCACGTAGAATTTCGTCCAATTACCCCAAGCTACCTATCCTTATCGCTCGCGTGATTATATTGCTGTCGCGGCTGTGCGACGGGCGACAGCACTGACTGTGCGAGCCTGCCAAAAGGTTGCCGACTGCTGGAATAAACCATAAATTACCTGTCCACTCCCATCGCTCCCTCCAGGCTGTGTCTCTCCCCCGGACAGGACATCAGCTCTCCTTGGTAGCTTGTTCCATCGAGCTGATGTCTCTGCATCAATGGTGGGCACATCGTTCACCACGGAGTTCAGGTAGGGAAACCCATGGTAAGGCCGGTCTGAGGATGAGCCAGCGCCGTATGTGTACATCTGGAATGTTTTACAATAAGGGTCATAGCAGACTTATCAACCCGGAAAGGGATCAAAACCACAGATCACAGAAACTAAAAGGAGATGTGACAAGGGGGCGGGGCCGGTGTCGCAGCAATATGCCCAAAAACAGAACACATTGCTCGTGACAGCAATGATGATAGCAGCGACGTCATAATGTAAACAGTTTACATTGCTTGCGTAGTACTAAAGATTATTCGAACGTTGAGTACTGGTACCGCAGTGGATAATGAGATGATTTGATTACTTTGTGTGTGTGAATTTCAAATGCGACACTGAGTTTCGAACTCGGCGCATTAGTTGGCATCTAATCTACATCTCTATGGTTATTACAATAAGTATTAAGGACAAAGCACACTTATCAACCTGGAAAGGGACCAACACCGGCCTTTCATGGTGCGGATAAGTTTGCGTTGCAGTACATAGTTTCATACAAATAATACTGTGGGCTTAGAGTGAGTTTGCATCAAAGTCTTCACTAATGACTGCTTAAAAAAATGACATTAATGTATGACGGATTGTACAGCGACCCTAGCGGATACTTTCAAGAACTAAAATCTTCATGGATTTTTTAAACGCGCTCACTGTGACGACGTTTGATGTAAACTCAAACTAAGCCCTCTGACCGCCTCGAGTTGATCAAATCAAATTAAAAACGTTTATTTGTGGAACGTATTTGATTTGATACGATTCCGATCCCTTTCCGGGTTGATAAGTGTGTTACGTCCTTAATCTGACGTGCGACGCCCGTGTTACAAAATGATCTTTAAAAATAATAGGCATAATTAAGTAGTGTAGGCAGTTTTTCGATGTATTGAGACAGATATCTATGTCGTAGAAAGAAACTCAAGTAGGTAGCCTAAACAAACTGAGTATATAGATCGTTTCATCCGCGAAGACGCGTCCCACCATTCTTCCGCTAATGTTTTTGAGTGTTATCGGTACACGCTAAATGATCCATGAGTGCACACGCACACTACAATAATGCCGCTCGGATTGCTCGGATCAAACTCCCCGCACCCCGCGCGACCGAGACCAAAAATTGGTGGGGCGCGTCTTCGTGGATGAAACGAACTAATAACGAAGACTCAAATTAAGTAATTTATTTCAATTCTCAGAAAAGCATTATCACATAAACAAGTTCAAATTAAACGTTTAATAACACTCGGAATATTAAGCAAGTCGTCTTTGAGATATCAAATTAAATATATTATCCTGCTTTCGCCTCCGAGATTTATTTTACCATGTAGTACCCCTGTACGACAACCCAATCCGCACACAATATTCAGCGTAGTAGTATTAAAAAACAAAAGAGCGGGCAACCCCACCCCTACCACGCTGTGGGCTCGGTGTCCGAGCGGTCTCATTCCTTTGTGCGCACGCGCAACGACCGCACGCAGTATAAGAAAAATGCTTAAGTGACGTCACCAGGACGTTTTTACCGACAAAAAACGTAATTATTTTAAGTTGTGCAGTGTAGTGACGAGAATTAGACCCAACAAAAGGTTGGTTGTAACAACTATTTTGTGCAAGTGCTCGTACATTTTTATTATAAGCGTTGTGACACGACGCGTAACTTTGACCCATTTTTAGCTCCAAGTTAACGCGCGATGTTAACCAGTAGCCATTTTTTTGCTCCGAGGTAATGCGAGATGTTACCCAGTAGCCATTCTTTTGCTCCGAGGTAATGCGAGATGTTACCCAGTAGCCATTTTATGATCAAACGAACTTACCAAGTGAAGTTCGATCTAAATTATCCTGTTTTCGCCGAAGAGATTTAAGGTCCCTCCCAACCCGAAGATTTCTATATCTTCTTCCCTGGAGGTAAACGTCAATGTCATCTCTTCTCTAAATATAATGAGACCGCTCGGACACCGAGCCCACAGCGTGGTAGGGGTGGGGTTGCCCGCTCTTTTGTTTTTTAATACTACTACGCTGAATATTGTGTGCGGATTGGGTTGTCGTACAGGGGTACTACATGGTAAAATAAATCTCTTCGGCGAAAACAGGATAATTTAGATCGAACTTCACTTGGTAAGTTCGTTTGATCATTCAATTATTTAGGCTACAATATTATACTATTTGTGGAAGGAAATCGTAATTACAGTTAAACGTAGAGTAGAAACTAAATAAATATCTTAGTAAGTAGTATTATTATGAAAAACATCAGCCAAAAATTTATAACGTCGGTAAGTATACGGGATTATTCCCTTTCGTTCCCACTGCTGTAACAGGAGCCAGGATCTACAGCTTGACCGCCAATAACCCAACCAGTGAAGGTAAAGTTTGTCCCGGGGAAAGATAAACTGTCATTGGACCCGCAACGAAATTTATCAGAAGAATGATAATGTGGGATTCTAATGGGGAAAGAATTGTTCAAATCGGTCCAGTAAGTAGTTTCAGAGTCTATTCAATAAGTACACACAATAAAAATTTTCCTCTTTATTATATTAGTGTAGACTATTATTATTATCAACAGCTCAATGCATTAGGGAAGAAGGCATAATAAATGTCAAAATTCCACTTATTCGTATAAATTCCGCGAAAAGATTATCGCAATTTAGATATTTTGTTTGGCACTTCTATATCCGATAGTGTATCTTTTTCATTGACTAAAGATAAGAAAGAGAGGTCATATCTTAGTGTATTAGTTCAATAACTATCCATCTTCTGCTTTCGACAGTCAAAATAGAACACACCCATCTTCCCGAGGATGTCGTAAGCGACTAAGGGACAAATATGCGAACATCAGGCCTCCCCAGCCCGTCTGGCCAGCGTGGGGAGTGTAGGACAAATCCTCCATTTGCCTCTGGTGAATTAGAGGGTCGTGCGCTCCTGCAGTGAATACCAAATGACTTGATGACGATGATGAATTTTATTAAATGTACCCCCCATGTTCCAATTTAAGTACATTAATTGTGCTATGAAACGGAGTAAGTAAAACACATCAAAATTCGCTCTTGGGGTTTGTTAAAAATACATTTTTTGATAATGATTTTGTACTGGTCCTAAAATTACTTATCCTTATTTCTGACAGTAAATGTGTAAAGTAGCACGTTTCAGAGGTGTATAATAAAACAATTTTGATAATTTCCTTATTACACAATGTATTTGTGAAAATAACTATTCCCAACTCTTGTACCTATCACAGCTACTCCTGTGTAGCCAGTGGGCTAATTCAAATGCATTTGTCGAGAGTAGAAATCGTCTGTCAAATAATTTTCTAGTAATCAATTTTGAACTGATTGTCAAGGTAATACAGTTGAAAATTGAATATCAAAGCCAGACTACGCCTAATGTCAGATCAGCCGATGGTAGATGCCAAATTTCCAATATCGCGTACGAAGACGGAGAACTTTGTCAATATAGTGGTACATAAGGGTCATAATTAGTGGATGCCGACGATTTTCGCGCTGTCATCTCAACGACTGCCCACCCTTGTCGTTCAGGATCAACAAGTTCAAACTTCAAGAGAAAGTTAATCTGTCATTGGTCCCACAACGAAATCAATAAAGAAAATAAAAATATATCGTGGCTAAGGATTGACTTCCTATATGCAAACAAAGCAGATGACAGGTGTCAAATAAAATTAAAATAGCATAGCATAAAACATCAAAATTATGTCATTATTTCCTTCGGTAATGTCATTCTAAATCTCTAGCATTGTTTAAACGCATCTATTTTTTAATGTGTATCAGCGTCAAATAGGTAGTAGTGACACCCAAAGTAGCCAAAAAGTTCGCAACACGTCTCTGTTACAATAATAGGACAAAGGTTGTGTTGTCGACTTTTCGGCCACTTTAGGTGTCATGAACTATTTGACGCTATTTCTACTATGAGAATAATGCTGAGAGAGGCATATACAAAGCACTTAAGCATCGAATTTTGATCTAGAAGTTACCTAGCGTCATTTATGTACAAACCATATTAATCGATCACTTACATTTTAACAGCTGCACACTAATCCAACACAAACACTTGAATTTCACACTTTCATAATAAAAAATTAGAAATTAACATAAATATGCTGACTACATCATGCCGTATGTAAAGTAATATAAGGCAGATATTCACATATCTGCCTCTGAGATATCAGGCAGATAAGATAATAATATCATTTGGATATGGCTGTGTATGTGATGGACGAATAGACTTACGACTATTTGATAAAACGCTACGTCAGTGATGTGATGGATGTTGTCGATAAAAATATATCGATAAAGGAGATAGACAACAGTTCATGAGATAAGCTTCAACCAGTGGCGGATTTACAGTTTTGCCGCCCGTAGGCTAGGGTGGGGTTGGATTTTTATTTAACTTTTATCTTCTGAAATCGAGTAAGCGTCATCTGAAATCTGCCGTCCCTAGGCCGCGGCCTATACGGCCTATTGACAGATCCAGGAATGGCTTCAACCATACATGACGTGACCTGTCATTGGTCTATGATCGCGCCGGCGATGGTGATATGCACGTGTTGGTGTGGTTGAAGCATTATAGTTCGTTAACGAACGTGCAACGTGGGCATATTTACAGGTCCCATTTCACCCTTTCGGTATAAAACCATAATATAAAAGTGGACGAAATATTTGAATTTGAAACTGTATTATAAATAGAGTTCTTTCTTTTCTAAAATTGACTTTTAGACCAACTTTCCTGCGATATATCTCAGCACTGGCCTAAATTATTGTCCCGAAACAGTGATAGGAATGTTACAAAATGTATGCTGACTGGGATGCATACCTAATAAAGCCTGGTCCGTGAGCTCCTGGTCCGTGGCTTTAGAGCTCAAAAACGTAAATTTTTATTGATATTTTTGCATGTTTTACGATACGAAACAAGAAGAAGACTCGATAGATATACGTATTTATGCAATTGATAACACTCCTTTTATCGACAAATCTAACTAACGATATTTCAGCAACACTATCACCTAGCAAATGTCATGGACAAAACATAGAGGAAATGGTAATTAGGTATCGTGTAACTTTGTAGGTAAACGTTCAGTTCAGCCATTAAAATATCTTTAATAAACGTGTTACTTAACGCGCATTAGGTAGGTACCTAAATGTATTTTATCAATTTGAAACTTTGTCACGTTAGGATGCGCGACTGACACGTATTTACAAAAGTAACGATGCTTGCTTAAGTGAAGCAGCAAATCGAACGCACATGAAGAACATAGGCCTCCCCAATGCTTTCCATGTTGCCCGGTTGGTAGCGGCCTGCGTCCAGCGCTTTCCTGCTACCTTTATGATGTCGTCGGTCCTTGTGGGTTTTTTTATACATACCTAAAGCATTTATATGTTCTTATCTTTTTCAGAAAATGCCCCACTCGTCAAGTGTTCGTGCGTGGGGGCCGCTCGCACTGCATCGATGCGTGCAACGCCGAGACCATGTGTGGGGAAGTGAGAGTGCCTGAGCATCATTTGAATGTAAGTAGGAAATTACTTATATTCTTTGAAAAAAAAAAAGACGAATAAAAGATGAATCGACATTATCCCAATCGTACCACGTCGGACTATAGTCTGGTCTGCGAGCACGTAGAATTTTGTCCAATGACCCCACTCAGGCTACCCATACTTATCGCTCGCGCGTAATTATATTGCTGTCGCGCTCGCACACGCCCGTCGCACAGTCGCGACAAATTCTACGTGCTCACAGACCGGGCTTTAGCCGCATCGATATTCGAGACCCGAGGAAGTCTGAAGCAGATCGCTTCCTTGCGATAAGACCGTCTACTAGATTCTCGGTTTCTTTTATCTGGATTTCTTTCTTTTGTTATTAATTGACAAATAAAAGAAACACAATTCAACACGACGGCGAAACAAATGGCACGACGTAGTGATGAGGTCTCTTCGAAATAACCCAGGTACTTGAAGAATACTTCCATAGTTCTCTTGATAATGTTGATATATTTTTGGACTACCGAATTTTTGGAATACATTTACATCTGAATTTAGTAAAAACAACAAAAAGCAACCTGAATTTTATTTATGATCTTGTTTTAAGCAAACATTTTACCGGTAACAGAGTTTTAGATACTCTTCCTAAACTAGTTTGTTGAACAGATTGTAGAAATATTATCTTGGGACCACGCACTTCGAAAACTAAGTTTATGCATGGAAAATTAGGTAGGTACCTACTTGGTGCCGAGCGGCATATTTATCGAATAGAGTACAAAACGTATTTTTCTAATTTATGAAATTCTCGTGTTTACTGTTGGTATTACCAACACGGCTTGACTGATTCTTATGAAATTTTGTGTGACATAGGCCTGGGAAAAAAAAATAAAGGACGTAGCACACTTATCAACCCGGAAAGGGATCGTAACCGTATCAACTCGAGGCGGTCAGTATTCTTTGTATGAAACTCCATACTGCAACGCACACTATCCGCACCGTAACGTAAACGCCACGCCTCGCGGTTGACATGCGAAAGGCGATGACAGTTCGCGTAAGGTACGGTGTTGATCCCTTCCCGAGTTGATAAGTCTGCTAAGACCTTTAAACTTAACTCTAGGAATAAGGGGTTTTTACTCGTACATGCTAATGTTAGAGACATTATTATTATAGAATCAAGAGTGATAATAGCATAGATTTTTATTTATTTCATAACAAAAATCGTGATAAAGTTTGCTATGTAATTGTATTTATTAATTATCCGCTGAATCGACTTTATAACCTTTAGAACCAAGCTTTTCTCTTCTGTTCTTTGCCTTTTCCTGTACCTGGCACTTCTTTTTCCCACCATTGCGACTGCGCTGGTACTTTTGGCAGTACCACCGGTCCACTCGTCGCTACGAATTCAGATTTAGGATAGTTCTTGTTGTCGTACTGATCAAAATCATTCTTCTCCTTTTCTGTGGTCATTTCTCTCCCACTCCTGCCAATGTTAAAACCTTCATACTTTAATGTTGTGGTTTTTGAAAGGTTTGCTGACGTGTCATAAAAATTCTTTGTTAAATCATCATTTGAGTTAGTTTCATTAATTTCTTCGGAAGCTAATTGTGAAAGTTTATGTCGACCAGGGTTAGGGTTTTCATCAAATTCAAATTTCTCTGCGTATCCTATAGTCGAATCAGGGATGTTATTAACCAACTGTGCTGCCTTTCCTGGTTTTCTTTTGGGTTTTCGACGGTGCTTAGTGGTTTTAATAGTAGCTTCCACGTTTTCTGACATTGGTGCAGGATCTATATCAATAGACATTTCTGGATGATCTTCTTCTTTTTTCTCTGGCTCTGTAGTGACATCTCTATTATTGTTCTCATCTAGAACATTTCCTGATAGCCGATGTTTACTTGGTTTATTCCAGCTATTGTGGCTATGTTTTATTATGCCCTGTCTACTTTTGGTTTGTTTTGTCCTCTTATTATGGTTTATGTAGTTAGGCCAACGACTTCTTTCTGTGGTCATTCTTTCTTGTTTCGTGGTCTGCGTTCTGCTCGGTGGTGACTTTTTCGCGTCTTCCTTATTTGGAGATCTTGGCTTTGCTTTATTGCTTCTGTATAAATCTTCGCTGGATATTTCGTGGTAAAGATTGGCGTTTTCTTCGTTCTCCTCTGAAACGTTTGCAGTGTTGCCAGAGTTACTTGTGACTTTTGCTATAAAATCAGCTATCTGCTCAGCTAAAGATTCGGAGACGAATTTCTTCGCTAGTTTTCTAACGTCTTCCATGTTTGCTGTTAACAGCACGAATGATTGTGATAGATTTATTAGTACTATCACTTGCAAACCTGAAAAATAAGGGTTATTTAATTATGACGCTGAATAAAGTTTGTGAGGATGGGTGTTTGTTGTTCTTTCACGCTTAAACCACTGAACTAATTTAGATGAATTTTAGTATAGAGATTAAAATAGTAAGACACGGGAAACGTCAAGCCGTGAGTACATAATGTAACTCATTAATAAACGTCGCGTTAAGACCCGTGTCTTACTATTTTAGTTGGAATGGCACGCGAAAGTTTAAAATCTTATAGTATCCCTTTCGGACCCGCGCTTAAACTAGAAAGAAAATTGTAATTTTGAAAATTAATTTTAGGTAATTTGGGGCCGCAGATTACGAATCTGCTATAATTTTCCAGATTTTCCGCCGCCATCTTGGAAAATTCATATACCAACAATTGTATCAAACTGGGCCCTTCACTTCCCACGTACAATTGTGAGGGTCAAAATTGTAAGGGTTTTGGAAATTTTATCAATGGCATGTATTCCGAAAAACGTATTTATAACCCGTAAGGAATAAAGAGGTTTCAATTTTATACCAGTATTTGCCATTTAATATTGATTTGTGGGCAAAACCATCTGTTCCATGAGCTCAACAGTAAATATAGCGCTCGAAATATTCCTATGGAGTTTTAATATCTCCTGGATCATGAACAGCATCTCCTGGAAGATGTTGACGATTGAAGGGCTTCGTCTGCTATGCCGCTTGCATACTCAGAGGTATGTATCGTCATGAATGTCTGAGCCTTCATCAGAAGAAGAGGAGTAGTTCATCTGAAGTAGCCGAAACTAGCTTTTGTCGTTGTCATCGCTCTCATCCCCAGATGCATTGAGCATCTCTGCGATAGTAGCGTCGTTTAAAATCGGAAACATGGTGCGGAAACTATGAAAAATTAATAATTATGAGAAACTTAAAATACGCATAAGGTATTGTAGGGCCCACGTCGATACAATTGTGTCAGTAAAGTTCGTTAAGCCGTTACGCCAAAGTCTTTGCTTACAAGTAGTCACTGTTATCACAAAAAGATGCTATTTTTATCTATTTGTCTAATCAATAACTTGTATATTACTAAAATTACAAAATAAAACCATAGTAGGTACTTTCTTTCGCCAAGTCGGGGAGCGCAATCAGTCATGAACTGTACAGGTTGTAACCTGCTCACCAACTGCGCATCGGACAAAATTTGCACGGGAGGTGAAAGAACGCATCCCGCACAATCGTACACTCAGCCCATCCACTTCCGATGTAAAACTAATGAGATAATCTCGATTTTGTAACCCGCACAATTGTATTGGAGCGGTCCGAAAGGGGTATAGAGATTGTTTGAGAACCAGGGAAAAACATAGGATAGTTATTATTCCGATTCTTGGACAAATTTCACACGGGTGAAGCCTCGGGCAAAATCTAGTGTTGAATAAATCGGACCATTCTTTATCACTTTATTAGTAAGGGCATTAAGATTCATTTAATGAATCTTATTGCCCTTACTAAAATAAATTTACACACTTGTTGAACTCTGTTTTAAATTGACATTTCTATACTAAACGTCTCTTTAAAACCATACTAAACGTCACTTTAAAACCACTGTTCAACGAGCGTGTGGATTTTATTAGTAAGGACATAAGAAACTGGAACACTAGTCCACTACACTACTACATTAAGAACGAACTTGAATCGTCAGCAAAATGTCATCAAATCTTCAACCAGATATTCGCATTCTTAAAGAGGTAGGTACCCCATTAAAGTCACCCTTTGTTGTTTTGCCGTCGCCATGGTCACCGCCTTAAGGCATCGAAGGGCAGGGGAGGGTAAAATAATATTTTTGAGCTGACCCATTTCAAAACGGCTTTGGACAACATCAGACATCTACACTAATATTATAAAGCGGAGAGTTTGTTTGTTTGAACTCGCTAATCTCAGGAACTATATGGTCCGATTTGAAAAAAAAATTTGTGTTGGATAAAATTTATCGAGGAAGGCTTTAGGCTATACATAACATCACCCTACAGCCAATAGGCGCGGAGCAGTAAAGAAAAATGTTGCAAAAACGGGAAATATTATTCAAACAATTTTCACACGTAGTCGCGGGCACAGCTAGTTTGTTATAATATATCATCTATCTATTACATAGGTGCTAGGGTTTACTTTGATGTGCTTGTCTGTATAAACAGGGTGAATGGACAGGTTGTCAGGTTGTGTTTATGTACAAACAAGAAGGTATTTTGACTTCGTTCCTCAAGTTAAATGTTGTTTTAGTTTCGGTTAGTGCTTATTCTAGCTGCTGTTTTAGGTTCCTATTTACACATGTCTATACAGGGTGGAATTTTGTAATGCCACCTGGAGGGAAAGTACTCTTAAAACTGTAGATAGAAAATTTTCAATACT